CCTGCAATGACGCCAGGCCTTCTTCATTGGCTCTGTGCCGGGCCCTTTCCATTTTCAGTAGACTTGGCATGTTAGTTAAATCTTTCAGTTTTGGGGGAGGGACTTTTAGGGTTTCAAACATTTGTAGCAATCTTTTCTTCAGGCAGTTGAGATGATATTGAATTTGTTCATTTTCTCTACTTTTGTTACTCAAAATTGCTATGATGACTGTTTCCATCAGAGTTTGCAAATGCTTTCTGCTGCTCTCCGAAAGAGGTTGCCAGGTTTTCCTTCTGCTGGATGCTATCTTTACCTGTTTTAGACTAGTTTGCTCTGTCTGTCCTTTAGAAGACAGGTGCTTTGGATGATTTTTATTTTTTTTCACTGTGTTTTTAACCTCCTTCTCTGATAACTCCACTTCCTTATCATCAATTTTTCTTTTTGGATTTCTTTTTAACTGTTGAGACCTTTTCTTGGAAGCATTTGCTTTGCTAGACATCTTGATCTAAATAGAACAATTCTAACAGTGCTCCAAAAAAATCAGCTTGCTGACACTCGCGGGAACCAAGGCTCTCAGTCCCGACCTCGGCGAGGGCAGAAGATGTGGGCACCGTGAGTGGCAAAACACAAGCCCAATGTTGACCTCTGGACAGTGACGCCGGCGGCCGCCGACCGCAGGGGCTTCAAGGCCAGACACTAAGCTCCGAGGCGGCGCCGGGTCCCGCCACGGGCTGCAGGGAGATGACGGCAGGGGGACGAGGGTGAGGATGGAGTGTATAATTCTTAACTGTGAAAACAGGCCTGGCATTTATTCCTGTATTTGGGGAAGTGTTTGCCCCGGCTGCATCAGTTTGGGCTGACGTGGTCAGATGCTGCACGGTATTCTTAGGAGAGTGGCTAGAAGGCCCTCTCCCCACTCGCTTTGGAAATGGGTGGCTTTTCATTTTGGACCCAGGAGCCCATGACTGACTTTTTAAATTAGGTTAGCAGAGAGAGGGGCCTTTCTCCGGGAAACATCCAATTGCTACCTACAGCAAAAAGCCAATCACAAACAAAACGCTTCATAATTTGAGAATGTTCTAAAGAGCTTAAGTGAGTTGCTCTTCAGGATAATGACTGCCTGGCATACCATACGACATCCTCTGGACCCATGAGGGCTCTGGGGCAAGTATTGTAGAAAACTAAGCATTGAGTCCAATGCGTTCAGTGGGAAACCACCAACTAGCCATTTAATTACAACTTTATTACTTACCATTCAGTTTGGTTCCTACAGAGTTAATGTTCCTTCAGGGAATACACAAGGTGATGTTCTAAGGACGTATCCTTATCCATCAATGACAGGAGGGCAGGCCTGTCTCCTGGCCTCTCCACCCCCGGTGGACAGAGAGGCGCTCCCCCTGCTGCCCGCCAGCATGGCTCTCAGCACCTGTGCTGCTCTATTAAATGATAAACTTTTACCAAATGCTTATATTTCAAGCTAAAGAAAATAAAATCTCAAAAGATGAAACAGGGTAAAGTTTATTTTGACTTCAAAACATTTACACTTTTTATCGGAACACATACTTCTCAGGCTAACACACTTTGTTTCGCAGTTAGGAACAATCCCACGCGGTCAGTGTAACCCAGTCATTAACACCCAGCGTTCAATGCTAAACACATAGGCTTGTCCTCATGTCTCTAGACTACCTTTCGCTTCTCTGAGCATCTCTCAGAGCTCCTTTGTTCTAGTGCCTTCTTGTTCTCTCCTTCCCTAAACAGCCTCATAGTCACGGAGATGTTTTTATCTTTATCTCGTGAAGTGGTGCCTCTGTGGTTCACCCCATTTTTGGCTCCAGGTCTTCAGTTGGCGCCTGGTGACTGAGCATTGAGATCCGCACACAGAGAAAGTTTGGAGTCACTACAGCCACCACCCCAGCAGCAGCGGGCCCATGTGCAGGTACGTTTTCATTGCTTAGATCTGGTGTTGGATCTGCTCTTACAATTATTTTGTTGTAAATGAGGCGACAATGACCACCGAGTGCGTAGATACTAAAGTGTGAAAAAGCAGGAGAAAATTACGTGCTTATGGACAGACGGTTCTCACAGGACCCGGGCCCACCAGGGGAAGCGTGAAGACTCCGAGGACCCTGTGGCCTGTCAGTGCCCAGTGACGGGAAGCAAACCTACTCCCACTGGTTCAGCCACCTCCCTGCTCCATTACACCCCAGCACCACGGACAGCGCCAGGCACCAGGCCCAAATCCTTTCACTCCTGGAGTTCCAACAGGAAGAACAGCTTCCTGGGGTGTCCTCCAGGGGTGGGATTCAGGAGAAAAGCAGGTATGCATATTTTTAAAAATGTCAGTGAGGCCCTAATCTGTTTGGCTCAGTAGATAGAGCGTCAGCCTGCGTACTCAAGGGTCTCAGGTTCGATTCCGGTCAAGGGCATGTGCCTTGGTTGTGGGCACATCCCCAGTGGGGAGTGTGCAGGAGGCAGCTGATCAATGTTCCTCTCTCATCGATGTTTCTAACTCTCTATCCCTCTTCCTGCCTCTCTGTAAAAAATCAATAAAATATATTTAAAAAATGTTAGTGAGACACAGACTCAACTAGTTTATGGTTGCTTGACTCTAATGAAAACATGAACAATGTTTAACCAGGGAGCGAAGGGCGAATCCCAAGGAGAGCAATCAAGGCTGTAGTGAGTCCCTCCTCTCTCCCTGCTCAGCCCTCCTCGGGGCCAGGCAGCAGAGGCCAGCACACAGCAGAGGCAAGGACATTTCCCAGAAAGAGGGGAGAAAACGCACACAATTTTAATGACAATGAAGAAAGAACATGCCACCAAGTCAGGTCGTGTCTGTCTCCCCCACATCCACCTGCCCTGTCACCAGGAGAAGAGCCAATGGAATAAAGCAAAGGCAAGATGACCTTGGTCCTGGGCCACAAGGGTGCCACCCACCCCCTGGGAGAGATAAAGACACGAAGGCAGCAGAGAAGGCAGCCCCACCTGCCTCCCATTGAGGACTAGGAGAGGGGTCAAGTGGCTGTGCTGGGGACTCAACTGCTCCCCCTCCCCACCACCTGCTTCTGTCAGAGCAAAGGAAGTGCTGGAGGGGCTCCAGGCCGCTGGGCTCTGGGCACCTTCTCCTCTGCAGTGACCTCTTGCTGGTGGATCAGACAGCCTCTGCCTACAGGGCAGAAGGGCCCGTGTGGCTAAGCGCCATCTCTTAATTGAAAGTAGCAACCTGTGCAGTTGAACACTCCAGACAAAACTGAGGCCACTGAGACCAAACCCAGCAAACTCATCGATGAATAGTTGTAAACATTCTTCCAGGAACCACACACACACAGTCTTGAAATTGGCAAAGAAACAGGAGAAAGTGCAAGGGACAGGAGGCTTTTAGTCTATAAAGTACTGTACCAAAAACTTGGGATGGAGCAGACAGAAGGAGGGGAGGAGGACAATGAGTGTAAGATGAGCCTGAACCCCACAGTTCCCTTCACTGTCACGGCTGACCTGCTGCTGCTGGTCGGAGATGATCATGCGGACGGAGGAACCCAGTGGCGGCCGTCCTGTAAATGCCATGGTGAGCAGAGTGAAACTCGATGAGACTGTGTCATTTTTAGGTTTAAAATAGGAAATATTGAAAAATGTTCACATTAGAGAAAGCTATTAGAAAAAAAGGTTCAAAATAAAAAACAAATCTCTAATAATCAAAGAAGCTTCACGCTCATAAACATGAACCAAGAGTCACCAGACATTTAAGGAAACAGGACTATGATGAATTAAAAAGAGAAACAGCCCTAGCCGGTTTGGCTCAGTGGAAAAAGAGGAACGAACAAAATTTTTTTGCTTGAGGAAATAAATAATCCAAGAAAATTGGAAAGAACACTTAACTAATTTGAACATTTCAGAAAGATTTGATATGTCTAGTATTACTAGTAAAATAAGAAAAGGTTGTGTTGAAAAGGGAACACTAGGGTAATAGCTTTTTGGAAATTGAAATATTGCCAGATTGAAAATGTAAGATGGCTGAATGATGAACAGAAAATAGCCAGAGATGGAATCAAAAACCTGAAAGATGATGGGACACTCTCCAAAGGCATCGAAGGAAAAACGAAGAATGAGCAAATAAGAGAGAAAACCTAGCAACGTGGATACCCTCACGCAGGAATCCCAGTGTTCGTCCAGTAGTCTTTCTGAAGGAAAAAACAAGTTTAGAAAAACATCAAAAAAGAATTGTAAGGATGGATAATAACAATGCTAAGGAAGAAAGTACAATACTCCCACATTTACACTGAAATGACCCCATTGTGTGTTGAAAGAGATAAATTAATGAAAATAAAAAAGACACTCACCTGGACATTTGTAGTGGAGTTTTACAATCCAGTGCACAGAGCTAATCTGAGGGGCTGCCATAGGCAGGCCAGGAAACACTGGCAAGCCCCTTGGATTACAGACTTCTCATCAGCACAAGTACATTTTATAAAGTAACATAATGAGAGATCTCACTTGAGAGATCTCTGTCAAACAAGTCATAAAGCCAACATCAAAGCTAAGAAATGTCTGACTATAAAAATAACTACTCCATCTGTGAACCCTATATGAATAAAACATTGTTGAGAGTGTATTAAAGGGAAAAGATAAGAGAATTTGAACAATATGACAGTATAAGATATAAGATTCAGTAAAGGAAGAAGTAAAAGAGCTAGAAGGAAATGTTTGAAAGGATTAGCTTAATTAGAAAAGGGACAAACGAGCACATTGCTTCCAGATGCCTCTGAACACGTATGTGGTTTACATACAGGTTTTCCAGCAATAACACTGTGATTACCTTCTACTAGCTTTTCATTCATATAATCAATTTATATGCAAATCTTTAAAAAATAGTATAGTTTAGAAATAGAACATATATGTTATAATCCTTAAAACACAGTAAAAAATAAAACCAACAAAAATTAGGGTGGGAGAGAGAGAGAAGAAAGAAAAAATTATACACTCAAAGGAAATTATTTAAATGCATTAAAAAGGTAATCAGTCGTAAATATGCTGATATCTATCTATATAAAAGCCTAAATGACTGGTCGACTGGCCTACTGGCTAGTAGCTATAACATGTAATGACCACAAGGGGGCAGCCCTCAACAAACAGGCATGGAAACATGGAACAGACTGATGAATCTCAGAGGGAAGGGAGGAGGGGGAAGGGCGGGAAGAGATTAACCAAAGATCTTATATGCATACTAGAGGCCCTGTGCAAGAATTTGTGCACCAATGGGGTCCCTTAGCCTGGCCTGTGGGGATTGGGCAGAAACCGGCTCTCTGACATCCCCTGAGGGGTCCTGGATTGCAAGAGGGTGCACTGTGCACCGGGTCTCTAGTATAATATGTACGCATATGCTATACAGGTAATTTAATTTTTAAATAAGTATTTTTATAATTTGTAAATTTTAGAACATCTTTTAGATTTAGAGAAAAATTACCAAGATAGTGCAGAGAGCTCCTATGCAGCACACCCCTCCCTCCCCTGTTGCTAACGTCTTACCCTTACATTGGTTCAGTGCATTTGTTATGACTAATGGACCAGAGTTGATACAATATTGTTAACTACACAGAGAGGAGATGGGAGGGCTCAGGGACCTGAGTTTCAGGTATGTAACCTGTGGTTCCGTGAGGTCACCCTCAGGGGGCATGGCCGCCTGCGCTGTGGACAAGACTCAGTGGCCAGCTTTGACCAGAGACAGT